CCTGCAGAGTGCATGATGGTTTTGACTCATGCATCTTTTGGCAAGCAGCCCAAGGCTTTAACCACAGCACCACCACAGCTCCTAACAACACCTTAGAAGAACTTAATTCATAAGAGTAAAAAGAAGCCATTACAATTAAGTAGCAGTCCTACCTCCTATACTTTATTTACCACCATGTTATTGTAAATAACCTAAGCCAGGTTCTTACAATTTCATAAAGATTAGTAAATTCCTATAATCTTAGTATTACTACCAAAGCACAGTATTTTCAACTTGTGATAAAATGCTATTCACATAAAAGAAAACCAAACCAGCTCCTGTTGCGTTGATTCCAACTCACGGTGACTCCACAAGTAACACTGTGTTCCACAGGGTTTTAATGGCTGATTTGTAAAATTTTTCACCAAGCCTTTCTCTGAAGCACCTCTGGGGTGGACTCAAATCATCAACCTCTCGGTTAGCAGCTAAGAGCATTAATACATTTGCACCATCCAAGGACTCCTCATCTATGCACAGCTTTGTTTTAAAGGGCGAAGGTGGAAGGGAGGATAAGAAGTGGGAGCTTTCTCTGATCTAAAATTTAATTTTAAAAAGTAATGTGAAGGGGAGAAAAAATATCCCTGATCCTGAGTACAGCAGAAAAACATAATTTAATCTGTAGTTTTTCCAAACAGGAGGGAAGAAACCAGAAAGGAAGATTTGTTCCAAACTAAATGGAAATACAAAATAAGTTTTTGGATCAGATACCATGAAACAATCCATCAAATTCATGAAAGCCTTATGAAACCAGCCTGTAGTCTCACTGAAGGGAACTGTCAATGAATAAATTAGCCCATGCATGAGTTACGATTTCTCATTCAGTTTTATCATCCCAATTTGAATGTTCCAAGAAGACATAAAGAATCTATGTAGACACTGTTTTAAGCTTAAAGAAGGTACCAATGCCCTGGTTTGTAAATTCCTCCCCCTGAAAGCAAGGATTTATTAAAAAATCTTTCTGATGATATAAAGTGAGGGAGAAATATTCAGTGGTCTCTGTTAAGAATGTGAATAAAGGATTTTGCAAAAAAGAGGAACAATCCTACTGCTACTTTTGTAACCCAGCCAGGTACTGCTGCTGTGCTCAAGAAACCCACCTACACACTCTGCAACTCTCATGGATTTTCTCTCCATTCCAAAAAACTGGAGAAACTGAAACTCCTGTTGGCTCTTTCTGAAATATTGAATCTACTTTTCAAAAACTCTGCAGCCACTTGTGACTGAAGTATAGACAACTTTGTTGTTGTTAGGTCCTGTTGTGTTGATTTTCGACTCACAGTGATTTCACGTGACAGAGCAAAACTGCTCCATAGGGCTTCCGATGCTGTAATCTTTATGGGAGCAGATGACCAACTCTTTCCCATGGAGCTGCAGGGTGGGTTTCAGCTGCTGCTGAGCTTTTAACCATTGTGTCAACACATTGTGAGATCATTAATATGTGAAAAAATAAGAGCCAATAATACGTTGCCTGCTTAGGAAGTATGAGTCCTAATTTCTCAAATTATTATCAAAATGTTTAAACACTATTCAAAACAACAAGAAATTACTGCTAAAACAAAGTTTAGGTTGATAGTAAATGTCTATTTATTTCTCTATAAAATTAATGTAAAAATTAATATGAAATACTATAGTAATATTATCTCAATTCACTGCCCTTGAGTCAGATCCAACTCATAGTGATCCCTCCTTGGGTTTCTGAGGCGGTATCTCTACCGAAGTAGATTTCCCAATCTTCCTTCACAGGAGTGGCTGGTGGGTTTGAACCTCCAGCCTTCTGGTTAGCAGTCAAATGCCTTATGCACTACGCTACCAGAGCATAGCAAATAATTAATGTAGAGCTTTGAATCTAAGAAAATGATAGAAACTTAGACTTTACTAATCACACCAGTTAGGATTCCAGTCATCAGCTATTTATTTGTATGAACAAAAGAGCACTTATTACACCTGTAAGCTATGCATTAATAAAGGAGAAAGGAAAGCAACTCTACTTAGATATCTGTGATATTCCACAAGTAGGATATGATAAAGTGGGATAATATGGCAAATGTCTTACATTTTCATGAAGTACTCACTAGACCATAAAGGTACTTGGGTACTGACTACCTTTCACCTTCCAATCTAGCCCAATCACAAGCCTTTTTCAGAGCAATATTTAGCATTATATCATTATGTACTTTCTCCTTTCCACCCTTTCCTGACAAAATCCTCAGTCCTACTTATTTTTTTGCCTATACTATTGTTATATGCCGTTGAGTCGGACCCAACTCATAGCAACCCTCCTTAGGTTTCCAAGAGGGTATCACTAAGGAAGTACATTGCCCAACCTTCCTTCTGAGGAGTGGCTGGTAGGTTTGAACCGCCAGCCTTCTGGTTAGCAGTCAAGTGCCTTAATCACTACACTATCAGAGCTCCCTGCCTACTATAGTTCACTTTTTTCTCTACAGTATCTTTTGACCCTCAAATCTTGGATAGTGATATCTGAAACCCGAGACAAACAGCATAGCATAAAAACTAAAAGGCCAGGTCTCTTGCCTAGAGAGCCACAATATGCTTTGAACATTAATGCCAAATTTCTAGGAAAAGATCCCAACAGTGCAATGACACACTATTTACACTGGTTTTCTACCAGTAATACAAAAAAGGCTTTCAAAATGATGGGCCTTGAAGCCCTGCAACCTCCATCAGCCCCTTTCCTACTACCTAAGTAAGTCCCATAGAGAAATGTGAAGTACATATTATGGTCTGATTGTCCAGACATGCCAGATAATGGGTGCTTTTCAATAGTAACTGCCTATCAGGCAATGCGGCTCTGGTAGCATAGTGCCTAAGCACTTGACTGCTAACCAGAAAGCTGGTGGTTCAAACCCACTAGCCACTCCTCAGAAGGAAGATGGGGCAATCTACTTCCATAGTGATACTGCCTCGGAAACCCAAGGAGGGGTCATTATGAGTCGGGTCTGACTCGACGGTACATAACAACAACACCATCAGGCGATGCAGAGGTACGTACAATACATGAGAGTAGTCATCATGTAAAGTAAAGTAATGGGAAGATGATGGAAGAAACTACAAAGATTACACATGTTTACAGCACTGTGACTACAGAAACCTTTGCTTCCCAAAATTCCAAATTAATTAGGCAGGTTAAGTTGGATACTCTGCTTTGGGTCTTGAAATGCAATGGCAAACATTATCCAAAACAATGTCACATCTTATATGGAATATTAAAAATAAAAGATCACCTTTAAACTTACCCTGGGGAAAATACTACAACCCAGAAATGCCTAAGTGTTATCAGCATCAACTCCACCCACACAGAACTCTGTACCATCCACCTTTACCTCCTGGAGTAAATGCAGTGCCTATAGAGTCTATTCATAGTGACTTCACAGGACAGAGTACATTTGCCCCACAGGATTTCTAAGGCTGTAATGTTTACAGAAGCAGAATGTCACATCCTTTCCCGAAGAGCAGCTCGTAAGTTGGAACCACTGAACTTTTGGTTAGCAGTCGAGTGTTTAATCATTGTGCTACGAGGGTTCCTTCCCATCTCCTGAATTGTTGGAAGAAAAATAAGTCTATGTAGTACATAATGCTCTCATTTCAGAATACAAGGAAACCTAAGCTTACTGAGAAAAGCAAAGGAAAAACCACCTAAAAGGATAACCTGTATCAGAAATGCAGCATATCTGCATGTACATTAGTAAGCGCGTATTATTAAGATAATCAAGAATATTGCATGAATAAGACCATGTTAAGCAAGTTTTCCTTAATTTTGAAGAATGAAGTTTGCTTGATTTTTAAATCTTTTCTAGTCAGTTGAAGACACTCGATAAAACCACTGGGTTGATTGTAATGGAATTTGATTTTGGAGGAGATCCTAGAAGAACTTTGCATTCTTTTATAACTTCCAAGTCCAAGTTGGGATGAATGAAGAAATTCTTGAAAAATGAGCTACAGAAGAAGTTTCAGAGAAGAAATAATTCAGCCTAGAAGAAGAGGGCAGTGTATAACCAAGGTTTTGTAGTACATACCCTCCTTTCTGTGATCTTAGCCTTTACTAGGATGTTCCACAGGTAAGCTGCTTACCACATTCTTGTGCAGAAAAGAAGTCTCTTCACTACTGAGGTACTCATTTCAAAGATTAAGATTTCAAGAGAATACAAATTCTGCCTTCATTAATCTAGTAAAGGCATTTTGGTTAGTTTGGGAAAGGAGAAGAGAGAGTGGGAGTAAGAACACAGTAACCGTTCTATGGAAACAAACAAGCATAAACAAGGCAAGACTGGTCTTTTCTGCCTTCCTATTTTAATTTAAACTCTACTTACTGCACTTCCTAAAGCAGAAGAAATGAAATGAGGTAGAGGAGAAAACTATACACTAAAGACAGCAGACCTATTAGGGAAGCAGTTGCCTACTGAGAGAGAGCTGTGCATGATGGCAGAATCAGAGGTTAAACACAGGATGAAATGCTCATAAGACCTCAGGGCTACAAAAATTAAATTACTAAAAGCAGAAAGTCATTGAGGAAATTATTTTTGCTAATTGGAAAGGACATACTCAAGATACAGAAAACGAGAGGGAAGTTGTATAGCTGACCAACTGAAAGAAAACCAATCGCATTATCCCAAATCAAATACTTTTAATAGAGAAATTTAGTGCTTTCATTTATAAACTGCTGTTTCAAGATATCTGTAAGAGTAAGTGCAACTTACAAACAATAAAGTGTATTCTTTTTAACACCCCTTCTATGGATGAGCCCTCCCTCCCCACCACCATTCTATTAATTGAAAAGATTCAGCAAAAGAATCCTTGAAAAAGACAAACCAACAAAGCTAGGAGAGCTGGTAAGGAGAAAAACATTCATCATGAGAACACACTGGACTCCGGAAGTGAGCAATAGTAGAGAAATGGAATGGGACACTTACACAGCAGCTATTTGTCAAGGGTCCTGAGGGCTACTATGTTCTGAAACCATCGAGACAGAATAGCAGGATGGGAAGAATGTAGTCACAAACAATCCACCAGATGACAACACTACACAGTGCAGAGGTCAGCACAGCTAGGGAACATCTGGAAAGGGATGAGGGGAAAGAACAGATGTTCAAATTGGGAAGCCAAAATAATAAATAATAATAATAAAGTAAAAACAAATAAAGTAAGCCACATGTGAATTTTAGACATTTTAAACACTCAGAACAGCAAATGGGATGCAAAAGGGTGGGAAATGAGGATGGAGTTTTGCCATTTTATGTTGGGAAAAAAATAGTCTTCAGTTTGCTCTGGCATTTAGTAAGAAAGGTCAGACCCAAACTGCAGCTGAATAACTGCCCCATGTTAATTCAACTTTATGATACTGATATAATAGTCACAGTTACATAACATAATTGAAATTCTTCAAAAACACAAGATATGTACACACAGAAAACTAAACCACAGAGAAAAAGCAAAAAAAAAAAAAACCCATAACCCTGGATTAATAATTAACACCATCACAGGAGGCACAATTATAAATGAACACACTGGTTGGCTTTCAGCTTAATGCTTCTTAATCCAATGGTCTGAGTCCTACCAGTGAGGCAGGAAGCAATTTCATATTTGGAAGGCTGGCAACTCCTAACAGCTACTGTACTTCCAAATGGTCACCTGAACATTTCCATGACAAACATATGAAAGGCTCTATTGAGACCTCACTTGTGCAAAGTATTGGGCTGACCAAGTAGAAATTGATGAATTTGGCTTACTATGCCATTTTTATCATTCTTTGTCATTGTCATCATTGACAGCTAAGGAACAGGTACTCTGTAAGATAGAAAGGGATTACAATAAAGGTGTACTTAAAATCCAAACCTAACCTCACCCCCTAAATTATACCTGTATCATTTCATTTAATTTTCCTACCAAAAACAAATCTACTGATCTGTATTAAGATTATCTAAAAATTATTTTAAAAATGGAATGAATGATCTAGGAAACTAGGATCACTGTAGAACTCTCTACCCATCCCAACCTTCATTTGCCATAACTCACTTAACAGTTATCTTAAAAGCAGAATCATCTGTGTGCTCTATATTGTAGATTTTTATTTGTTCCCCAGTCAAGCTCATGACAATGAATTATTTTTCAATGCTGAAATACACTTACCTCTACACTGATATAAGGGGTAGGTAATGGATTCTCAAAGCTGATTTCATCTATATTTTCACCTTATTCCCAGTTAGGATGCACCTCCACTCTTCATGTATCATTTAATTTAACCATAACAAACTTAGCAAAAATGATCAATATGTAGAAAGATGGGGAGTCTGGCTGAAGTAATATAATCTACCAAATCAATTCTGGCAGACAAGATACTTGCCATCACATCCTGAAAATTAGATCAGCTTCCCAGTGCTATGTGATTTACTGTCTTTATGGTAGTTAGGATCACACAAGCTCTCTGAGAGAACAACTGTTAAACAATTTCTCCAATACTGACTGCTTATAAAAGAGAAACCAATAACTAGAATGGTATTTTTTTGGTACTATTATTTGCTCTTAAGAATGACAGTACTTGTGTATTTCTCACTAATTTTCCTTCTTGTAAGTATTTTCATATGGCTAACTAGCAACAGAGAAACAAAAATAACAAAAATACAGCAGTGGATAGTTTAAAAAGTGGGAGGCAGGTATTGAATTTAGATTTTTCAACCCATGCTGCTATTGAGCACTCTGGGAGGGGGGGGGCGTTATTTGTAAAGTAACAACAAAGCCTTGCTAGGGAAAGTAACCTCCAACTGACCTCTCTTCTAGGGCCAAAAGACCTACAAACAAGAGATGATTACAACAACAAAGGAGAGGATGAGCAAAGGGGAGGAAGGGAAATTTGCTGTGACTAATCTAAAATCCTCCAGTCTTTTCACATAAGGAAGACCTTAGAAAAACCTTAATATTTTGCTTTTTTCTTTAAAAGTGTGGCTCATGGGTGTTAACTGGGCCCATAGTGCCTAAGGCATCTGACTGCTAACCAGAAGGCTGGTGGTTGGAACCACCAGCCGCTCCTCAGAAAGGAAGACTGGGCAATCTACTTGTGTAGAGATACTGCCTTGAAAACCCAAGGAGGGGTCAATATGAGTCGGAATCAACTAGAGGGCAGTGAGTTTGTGAAGGGCTGTGCAGCCCTGCGGGGGGGGGGGGGTAGACACAGAAGAGGAGCTGGAAGGGGTAATTTTAGGGCTTTTTTTTTCAGGATGACCATTACAGTTTACAATAAAAGGGGATTTAAAACTGCTACTATTTTTTTTTTTTTTTTTTACCTTTTCACTTGACTTTAACGCATATGAAGAGAGCTATAGAGCACAGGGCCTTTGTTCCTTCTGTAAGTAAAGTCAAAAACTCACTGCCATCAATTAGATTCCAACTCTGTAGACCCCCATTGGGTTTCCAAGGCAATAAATCTTTATGGAAACAGATCACCTCATCATTCTTCCATGGAGCAGCTGGTGGGTTCGAACCAATGACCTCTTGGTTAGCTGCCAAATGTCTTAACCACTCTACCACCAGAGATCCTTTTTGAGCATGAGGGGTGTAAATAGATAATTGAACAAATCATAGCACAGACGAAGGTGGCCCTGAGAAGCAGCAGGACCCAAGCAAAGAGCAGTAATCAAAAACACTTGCTTTTCATTCAACCATTACTGGTCCCATTCAACTTTTATACCAGGGATCTCACACATTTGGGTGAATGGAATAGCATCTAAGTGTTACCTTCTGCTTCCAACAACATTTAAAATTTTAATTTTCCTTAGCTGTTTTCTTTTATATTACCACAAACCTATCACCTATCAGAGAGAAAAGTCTCAACTTTTCTGGAGAAAAGCATCAAGTGATTTGAATTCCTGTGGAAAATATCCACAGAAGTAGCAAACTCAGAGAGTGACTAGAGGAAATTTCCTATTAAGTCCTATTTAACAAGAACTTTTGACTAAGCATAATTCCCACTCTCTGACTCCCAACTTGACTTTTGGACAGCAGGCAACAAATTACTGAGAAATAAACTGATGATGCAGATTCTTAAAAATAAAAACAAAAGAGAACACAACTAAAGACAGCCCACAAAATGGAACATCAATATTTTGTTGTTGTTATGTGCCGTTTGAGTCGGACCTGACTCATAGTGACCCCTCCTTGGGTTTCAAGGCAGTATCACTACGGAAGTAGATTGTCCCATCTTCCTTCCGAAGAGTGCCTTAGCACTCTGGTTAGCAGTCAAGTGCCTTAGGCACTATGCTACCAGAGATCAGTATTTTAGGGTCTTGCAATTCAAACTGTGGTCCCTGGACCAGCAGCATTAGCAACACTCAAAGCTTGTTAAAAATGCACATTATTCTCAGGACATACTCCAGGACCACTAAATCATAATGTGCATTTTAACAAATTCCTATGGTAACTCAAATACACAATGAAGTTTGAGAAACAGTGCTCTAGAGTATTACCTATTTACTCTATTGATGTCTAAAATTATTTTCAGAATGATTATCTGGAGGCACTACAATGTTTCTGATCAAAAAGAACCATAACCATTAAGGCCTTTGATTAAGACTTTAAAAACAAAGCAGAGTCTACAGTTAAATAAATGAAATTATGGAAAATGCAGCATTCTCCAAGCATCCTCATTAACTAAAGCACCACTATTAAGCTGCACAGACAATGTTTCATAATTATGTATAATCAATATTGATGCCTTATATTCATATGGCACTTTACATTGGAAAACTCACATTCTCTTCTTTGAGTCTTTAAATAACTTCCCAGGGTAATCACCCATGACAGATGACATGTGCCTTACGTGTAATTCTACTTTAGAACTTCAGACCATGAGCAGATTCTAGGGAAAAAACATTCTTAATGAAAAAGAAGGTTGATTCTTCTCTGCCATGAACATTTATTATATCACTAGTTCCTTACCATATTAAAGATGCCTCCTGAATAAAATAACTTTCCATCTCCATCACCAAAAATAAGAAAGAAGAGGACTTAGAAATTTGGTACCCCCCAATGAAAAAGGAGATTCCCAGGGGGAAAGAGTCTGATGGCACAGACAGGATCATTTACTAGAGAATAGCCTAGAAAGAAGTACAATAGTCCATATTTTCTACTTCCTTTTTTCTAAAAATTCTTGATGTTCCATGAGGTTGAATCCAAACTAATGCACATACATACACAAACAAGTCAGCGCAAGTGGACATAATACACACTCAATAACTATAAACTTTCCTATTCCCATGTTAAACCTTCTTCTGTAATTTAAATATAATCCCCCAAACAAAAATATAATATAAAAATACAGTATTTAGTCCAGTTCATTGTTCCCTGAAAATAATATAAACCACTAAGCTACCATTGTCACAACTGACTAAATTCTAACATATCAAAACAGATGATCTGAATTATGGCAGTGAATTTAATTAAAGAAATTTAAATGTTGGTAACGATGGACAAACCTGTTATTCTGGGGTTCACATCTGCTGTCATTCTCTTGAGAATAACATACACAGATTATCCATGGTGAAAAAGCATCCCCAATATTGTTTTCCCATCTATAAAGGCTTGTAAAGTTGCAATAGAGGATGTAGATAAACAAAGGATGGCCAAGAGCTTTGTGGGCAAGCACCCCTGGATTTAAATAACATTGATAATTGTTTCACAGTGGCATGATGTGTGTCCTCCTACTATATAGAAAAATATACAGGAAAAAATGCTAATGAAAGACCTCCATATACATATTAAACAACATTACTCACACACAAAAAAATAGACTCACGTGAGGGGAATAGCACTTGCTTTTGATTGTCTTCTGCTTTTCAGGGCCCGAAGTCTGTCACCTTGTGTCACTCCATTGATTTCGTCATCATCGCTGTACTGTGTAAGTAAAAAAATACTGAGCTAATGATTTAAGTTGCAGCTATTAATACAATAAAGCAAAGCAGCTACTTGTGTCCAAATATACAGACATACATATATGTACTTCGAGTTTCTACTAAACCTTATTTTTCCCCTTTCAAAATAAACCTATAGGTCACCTTTCCAGAAACCTAAAAGTTGACTGTCACAGACACAAAATCCAATAGCACGGTCTCATTATAAAACATACTGACACTGTTGTTGTTGTTGTTATATGCCATTGAGTCAGACCCGACTCATAGCGACCCCTCCTTGGGTTTCCGAGGTGGTATCACTACGGAAGTAGATTGCCCAACCTTCCTTTCGAGGAGTGGCTGGTGGGTTTGAACCGCCAGCCTTCTTGTTAGCAGCAAGTGCCTTAGGCACTATGCTACCAGAGCTCCCATACTGACAATGGAGAGGCATAATGGATTTTTAATTTTGAAAATATTCTTCTTAAAATTTCCCAATCTGCTTTAATGCCACTTAATTTTGGACTGCTAATCCCTATGTGCTGTGTTCTCTACTTGATAGCCTTTGGTTCCTTAAATGAGCTGTCATGAAATGGAAAAAAGGTTGGGGTAGGGTATAACTAGATTCATCTAAAGAGTTTATTTCCTATATCGCTTATTTCCACTTGTGCCTAGTTGAGTTTAAAACATTTTAATCTTATGGACACACGACCCTGTCTTAACAATTTGGAATAAAATATTCCTAGAAAGAGCTATGAATATAAAAAAGAATATGTGACAATAATCCCTTAAAATGTGCTTTATTATTTTTACCGACATTTTTTTCCATGCCCTAAAACATTCTCAAGAGCATTTAAAGCAATTACAACAGCGTGATAGGGATGGTTCGATTACCAGTTCAGGTTCTTGCTTGTCTTGATTCTTGACCCCATTTATTGAAATGTCATCAACACCCAAGAGGAGTTTTGAGACAGCTGCTCTGTGTTTTCCATTCTCCTGGCCTCTTAACTTTTGACGAAAATAGTCACCTTCTAGCCAGAGGCTTGCTTCTTTCCTAGACATTTAAATCACAACATCAAAATACAGCTTTCCAGAAACAAACACATGAATAACTTTTCACTGTCAGATGTCTCTTGTAACTAGAGACCAAGAAAAATTTTACTTCTCATCAGAAGTAAATTCTATTTCTAGTTCTCATCCCATTCAACTTCCAGATCTACTTGTTCCCTGAGGAATTACAAAAGCTTTCCTCCTACTTACATCTCCAAAAACTGTTGCTGTGGTCCAATCACTGAACCAGGTCGACAGATTCTGATCCAGGCAATGGTCTCGGCTGCTGACATCCTGTAATGCTTCATAATGTAGCAGGCGATCAGAGTACCAGTTCGTCCAAGGCCAGCTAAGAAAAGAAACAAACCAATGGAACCTGGCTTCATGTCCTGCAGAATTTTGTTAGGCAAGGAGAATTTGAGGGGAAAAAAAAAAGGCTTCCCATGACTCTGCTTCCCTCAACAGTGGTTCTCAAACTTAGTCAACAAAACCAAACCAAACTCACTGCCATCAAGTAGATTCCAACTCATAACAATCTCTACTGGGTTTCCAAGGCTGTGAATCTTTACAGAAACAGACTGCTTCATCCTTCTTCCACAGAGTGGCTAATGGGAGTGAACCACCAACCTACTGGTTAGAAGTCAAATGCCTTAACTATTACACCATCAGAGGTCCTTTCAAACTTGGTTATACACTGAAATTATCCAGGAATTTTAAAAAAGCATTGATCCCACCACAAGTCTGATTTAACTGGTATGGGGTACATACAGCCTGGGAAAGGGATTTTTTTAAATCCCCCAAGTGATTTTATGTGTAGCCAAGATTGAGAATAACTCTTCTGGTAAGATGGAGAAATAGGCAGACAATCTACACAGAACCTCTTCAACAAAGAAAGAGAAACCAGTAACAGAGGTACAGAAAATAATCCTGGAGTCCTGAGCTCTGACAGGACGTATACAGAAGTGGATTAGGCACCAACTAGTGGAAAAACCTGAACAAAAACAGGACCTAAGAATAGGCTCTGTTTGCCATGGATGTACGGGAGGTTAACAACAGGAAATGAGACAGGTGGTGAGTGTATAAGTGCTGCCAACAAGCAAATAGAGTAGCACAGCATGGTACCCTGCTTACATAGATAACACACAAAGAAAACAAAAATAGTGGGCAAGTCACCCCAACATACAATCACCAATTAAATATAAACACAAAAACATCACAATACCTCGGAGACAACGAGGATCACAGTCCACACAAAGAAGCAAGATAAAGCAGGAGAAATAAGGGACCAAGTTACAGACCTAAAACACATTCCTGAGGAAGACATAGCATTGGAACTCCCTGATAGGAATTCAAAAGAATTATATTTAGGTATCTTCAACGAATTGAGAGACCATTCAAGGAAAACAGTGACAAAAATGAGCAAAACAGAGAAAACCCTAGAACAATTTTGAAAGACAATACAAGAACAAAATGACAAAATAAATGAAAAATTAGAAATGATAACAAAATCTACAGATAGAAATCTAGAAGAGTAATATTAAATTTTCAGAAACAGGTAACATACTGAACAGGCAAAGGAGAAGAACTGAATCAATGGAAGACGGAATTAGAGAGATTGAGGGCAAATACCTCAATACTTCTTTGGAAAGGGATCAATCAGAAAAATGATAAAAACAAAATGAAGAAAGCCTAAGGTTCATGTGGGATACCATCAAAAGGAATAACCTATATGTAATCGGAATTCCAGAACAGGAAGAGACAAATAAAACCACAGAAAGAACTGTCAAAGATTTATTGGAAGAGAATTTTCCTGGTATGGTGAAAGATGAGAATATATCCATTCAAGAAGTCTGACAAAACCCAAACAGGATAGATCCCAAAAGAAAATCACCTAGACATATTATCATCAAACTCACCCAAACCAACAACAAAGAAAGAATCCTGAAAGCAGCATGGGAAAAATGAAACGTTACCTACAAGGGGCAACTAGTAAGACTAAAGCTCAGATTTCTAAGCAGAAACCATGCAGGCGAGAAGACAATGGGATGGCATATATAAAACCCTGAAAGAGAAAAATTTCCAACCAAGAATTATGTACCCAGCAAAACTGTCCCTCAAATATGGTGAAATTAGGACATTTCCAGATAAGCAGAAATGAAGGGAATTTGTTAAAACCAGACCAACCTTACAAGAGATGCTAAATGGAGTCCTTTGAACAGAGAAGCAAAAACAGCAAACAACTGACCGTTAACATACATGACATAATCCAGAAACCAACCCAGCTATGAAGTATCCAAAGTAAATAAGCCTACAAGTTTGTAAACAGGGAACCAGAGACATCAATTGATAAAATGAGGACAACTACAAACCAAAAAGTGAGAAAAACTGTGTAGTTATACAACTTCTAAATGGTAGGGAAGTCAAGACAACTGCAAGATAGAACAGATTGTTCTAAACTTGGGAAGAAAATTATAAATCACAGGGTAACCTCAAAGAAAAATGATAAACCTTCACATCAAAATAAAAAAGAGGACCAACACAAATATTTAGCAAATACTAAAACAATAGCAACAAAGAAAGTGATACCATGATTCATGAACAAAACGAGCTCAGCACATAAAATTATATGGAACAAAGAAATCAGTATCATGAAAAAGTGCCTAACAAAAATGACAGCAACAAATTCATACTTGTTAATAATTACATATCCAACAAGGGCTTTATCTCTAAGATTTATAGAAAAGTCCAATGCCTCAACAGCAAAGGGATGAACAATCCAATTGAAAAATGGGCAGAAGACATGAATAGACACTTCACCGAGGAGGATATTCAGGTGGCCAACAAATACATGAAGAGATGCTCAAGATCATTGGCCATCAGAGAGCTGTAAATCAAAACAACAATGAGATTCCATCTCACCCCAGCACTGACAGCAAGGTTCAATGAGACAGAAAATAACAAATGCTGGCAGAGAGGTAGAGAGATTAGGACTCTCATACACTGCTGGTAGGACTGTGAAGTGATACAACCACTGTGGAAAGCAATATGGTGATTCCTTAGAAAGCTGGAATTGGAGATACCATTTGACCCAGCAATCCCATTACTAGGTATATATCCTAGAGATGTGAGAGCCAGGACAGGAGCTGATATATGCACACCCATGTTTGTCACAGCACCATTTACAAAAGCAAAAAAGATGGAAACAACCTACATGCCCATCAGTGGAAGAGTGGGTGACCAAACTATGGTACATACACATAATGGAATACTATGCAGCACTAAAGAATAATGTAGAGTCTGCAAAACACTGCATAATATGTAATATGGATGAACTTGGAGAACATTATGCTGAGTGAAATAAGTCAATCACAGAAGGACAAATACTGTATGAGATTGTTGTTGTGGAGGGTCAAGGAAAGGTTTATATACGGAAGAAATATATTTCTTTGTTGGTTGCAAGGGGTGGGAGGGGAGGGGAAGGAACACTGCAAGAAAAAAAATGCATTGACTCATGTCACTTTAGCTTTGTGTATTTCACTGTACATAAATTATATTTCAATAAAATGCATTTTTAAAAAAAGGTTGAGAATAACTGTTCTGACAATGATTCTAAAAGAGCACAGTGTTTTCAGCACTGAGTTTTCTCTTAATGGTATAATCACCTTTGTAGAAATGCAGGCTTGAAATCTTACACTTACTTCTTCATCCAACAGTCTTTACTTTCACAACCTCACTAAAACAGACTTCTTTTACTTTATTGCTGCTGTCCTCCTCTCTCTTCATGTGAACCATCAGCACTATCTCCTAATGGCTCTCACTTTTTACTCCACATCCAATCTTCACTATCATTAGTTTTCTGCCCAAAAAAGATTTAACAGGTTTTTAACAGGACATCAGTCTGTTGCAGAATTTCTCAACAGTGGCACTACTGACATGTTTGGCTGGATGATTCCTTCTTGTCAGGGCTGTACATTATAAGTATAGGATGGTTAGCAGCATCCCTTGTCTCTACCTACTAGATGCCAGTAGCGCCTATCCACCAGTTATGACCATAAATGTCTCCAGATATTGCCAAATATCCTCTGGGAGACCAAAGCACCCTGGCAGAGAACCACCTGTCTATTCTAAATTCCTTTACCCTTGAGAACTGCCTTCACATGGTGATCAAGGACATTCATACTAGTGCAAACCCTATGCAATCCCTCACTTCTAATAAACTCTATTCCCTCACCGCCTCAGCCTAGAATGTTCTCTATCCTCTGCTTACTGAAATCACTTCTTCAAAGATTATCTAAAGAGCCACAGACTCAGGAAAGTCTATTCTGATTGTTCAGGTGCAACGTATCACCCCTGAATTTGAGATTCCAAAGTACTCCATCCACACAATTATTGTAAGCTTTATCATCCAACTGTATAAATTTCTTGAGGAAACAAATCAGAGATTATTATCATGGCAAACCACAAACCACCAACTACAGTGCAAAGCAAAAAGCAAGAACATGAACTCAATCTCTAAACACAGAAAATCACAGTATTTCTTTTTTCAAAAAATTACATAAAATATTTTGGAAACTATAGAAAATGTTAAATGATAGAGGCCAACTGGACACTTTAGAATTAAACTTTTAATTTTGGAGATTTCAAAATGGGACTATCTCACGAGTAAGACAGCATTTGGAAAATAAGCTGTAAATGAAGAAGCTCATTGCTTATTCTAATAAACAATAATAAAATAACCTTTTTCAGATTTTTCTTTATAAGAGGAGAAGGATAGAATAAATTCTGGTATATTCATACAATATAATTTAAACACTAAGCACTGTTCTGGCTGCTATAAACAAAGCAACCTGAAAGAGGCTGCAAACTCCACAAAGACAAGGTCTTGGGGTCTGTTCTGCGCATTCAAGTACCTTAAAACCACTGCTGTTGAGTCAATTCTGACTCACAGCCACCTTATAGGACGGAGTAAAACTGCCTATAGGTTTTCCAAGGCCATAAATCTTTGACTGTAATCTCCTACAATGCAAAAGCTCCCCTCCCATTTCCTCCCCATAGTTACCTCTTCCCTGTGTCCTTCCCTCCCATGCACTCCTGTCCCCTCAAGCTGTCCCCTGTGCATGCACAGTCCCTGTATTCTCCCATGATTGATCTCTCTAAGGAGTGTATCTTCCTAATGTAAATGTTCAGCCCATATGTCTGTCATTTGTTTGCCAAGGCCATAAATCTTGACAGAAGCAGATGGCCATCTTTCTCCTAAAGAGCAGCTGGTGGGTTTGAACCGTCAACCTTTCAGTTAGCAGTAAGCACTTAATCACTGTGCCACCAGGGCTATTCTGATGTACCCTAAAACCAACAATACTAGTCACCCCAAAAATATTTGATGGATAAATCAAAGTATTTCAATGTAATAAGCCTTTTGTAGGCTTACCTATGAATACTATTCAAATTACTGTTCTTCTCATAAGAAATTAGGGTTTTAAAAGCATTCTTTTAAAACAAAGGCAGCTCCCTATGTCCCTGACATATAATTTCAATGAGTAGAATGTGTCTCCACACATATAGTAAACCATTCTTGAACCAATTCCAAACACATACCTTTACAATGCACTGCAATGGCCCCCTCAGAATTTTCACAAATATCCAGAAATTCTTTGACAATGGCATCAGTAGGGGTGCTGCCATCCGCAAAGAAAAGATCATGGTGATCGAAACCAGCATCCGTAAAGCGTTTGGCATCATACATCCTTTTATTCAGGCGAATAATGGTAGTAACATTGTGATTCTTAAAATATGGAATATATGCTTCAGGAGAATGTTGGTGGTAACCTACATAAAGAAATGCATCAGATCTTGTAAAATGAAGAAAGAAAACATTGGATGACAGTTTCAACTGTAATTGAGTGAAAAGAGTATCTGGACTGGGGATTGAATACCAATTTGATTATAACTATATAAAACAAAATTTTAAAAAGTTGAAAATATAAAAGGATGTATTCAAATGACCAATTTAAAAAATGAAGACTTAAAGCTTAGTTTAACTCTTTGTTCTCTTTTGAATGAAGCACAGGATGGACACTTTCAATGGCAAAAACATACTGTTACCACATTTTCCTGTTTTGCCATACCACTTTCAAGTCTGGTTCTTGTATGAGGTCCACAGAAGGCAATGAATTGGTCAGGTATTATCCAATTTAAATCTCCATTTTCTGCTTTCTGCAAAGAGAAGACCAGCACAATTCATGTTTACACTTCATCTCCCCCTCCACCCCAATCAATACCTGAGTCTCTGCAGGACTTCAGTCCATTTGCTTTAGTACAAAAGCTGTTTACAAATGATAGTAAATTAAAATTTAGACTGCTATGAGTATTCCTCGGTAACAGTCAACTTCAACTAATCACCTGCTTATAATGGTGTTTCTTTGCTAAGGCAGTCATCCTTCAGAAAACAGAGTTGACAGATGATGCTATGTCCAGTACTTTGGTTATTTTATTTGAATAAATTCTCATCATAGTTGCTGCCAATTAATAGAAAAGCAAATTTTTCTAGTATGAAGGAAGTGGAAACTTCTCTGTCTTCCTGTATGAGTAACTGGTTTCTAATATGAGTAATCGTGACTTCTTGAACAAAGAAGGAAATACTATTTAGATTCCTGGCTTCTCAATAATTAATTAGTTATTTTTTTTTTTTATAGAGACATCTTACCATCACTTTGCTACCTATTCAATAAAAGATTTTCACAAAGCCCACCGAGAAATTCAAAATTACAAGTATGGCAAGATCACAGTATGTGTCTATAAAAAAGCACAAATATAAACTGAAATTTATAATATGGTAATTTCTGTTATTAAGTTCTTTAAAGTGAGATACTATTATAACATAAATACAGTTCCAATGTAACAACAGAAATATATCTCATAATGCAATGGAACCAGAAAGACTTTTAAGCCAAAAGTAGGAGACTCTTGATAGTGGAAAAGGAGAGAGCTAGTAGTAAAAACAAGATAAATTAATTTTGCAACTGGAGTGTGTACATGTGCATGTGAGAACAAGGAAGAAATAAACCAAGAGTTACTTGAATAGGGGCCAGGAAGACATCCAAAATCAGTTTAAACCAAACCAAACCCACTGCCATAGAGTTGATTCTGACTCATAGTGAACACCATAGAGTTTCCAAGACTGTAAATCTTTACAGAAGCAGACTGCCTTGACTTCCTTCTGCGGAGAGCAGTGGGTTCAAATAGCCAACCTTTTGGTTAGCAGCCCAATGCCTTAACCACTACACCACCAAAGCTCCGAAATCAATTTACTTGATGTAATTATCAGCTGTGGGGACTTGGTGACCCATGCCAAAAGGTACAAGAAGGAACGAGGACAAGTGTTGCCAGATGTTCTGATTTTAAAGGGAAACCAGAAATCTGGAGTTCTTAAAATAAAAAACCTCTGATTAGGATGTTGGCAACCACCAGATTTCATTGTAGTGTAAACATCATAGATTTTAACATGCATCCTGAATTCAGAGAAGTAAAACATGAAAAAATGGGCATCATGGAATCAATGAAATATACTAATTCAAATCTTCTAAATATACTAAACAGATTAAACAAAATTGGTCTGTGGGTTACCAGTTTATGATTTCTGGCCTAAACAGTGGCCTGTGTCTCAATAAAGTTTCACTGAAGGTAAAGGACATTTGCATTTGTGTGTGTACACACACATATGTACATGCATACACATCCTATACCCTTCCCTCAATCTCTACAACAGTGACAGGAGCTAAAGAATGCTTATGTTACTCCTTAATAATGCAGAAAGGTATCACTGTCCTACAAGAAAGTAACATCAACTTTTGTTTTTAGTAATTTGCATACCTAAAAAGAGAAAGCACATTTTAAATGTTTAATTTAATAAGAACAAGCACATACACAAACATGTTCATAGTAGTTTAAGATGGCAGTTAGATATATATTATACTTAGAAACAGACTATTGTTACAGAGGCATGACAATAGGGTTGTTTAGTCCTAATGACTAAATATATGACAGCACATATTTAGTACATTACAGTAATAATTGTTCATTATTAACCCAATTCATCAATAAAATAGTTCACTTAAACTTAGTAGTTTAAGATAGCAGTTACTTCATACAATGATTGTGACAGAGATACTACTACATGAAGAGCTGTCCCTGGGATCATTCTCCTTCACTATTAAGAAAGAATGTCTGGCCTAAGATAACAACAGGATAGACTGTTTCTTCAAGATAGTATAGTGAACGCTTAAGTATTCTTGGCTAAAAAAGACCTTTATCATAGCATCTTCATTATTATTTAATTATTAGGGGGAGTAGGTACAGTAGAATTAAATTATTCTTTTTTTATTGGAAAGAATAAATTTTTAAATGTGGAAGACACTTGTGGTTTTGCCTGCTTGGAATGTCCTCTTCTACCTCCTTTTAGTCTGTGTGGTTTGGTGGCGCTTACCCCAGGTGCCAGCTCCTGGGATGACTAGAAAACTATGTCTGGCCAGAGTACTGGTACAGAGATTTGTCCCCAGCTGGTACAGGAATGGGCACGTGACCTAAGCCAGGCCACTGAGAGGTATTCCGAGGTCCAGTGCTGGAGCTAACTGTTCTCTCTCTGACGAGTGTGCCAAACTGTTAACTTGTTGTTGTTATTTGCCGTCGAGTCAAACCCGACTCATAGCGATCCCTCCTTGGGTTTCCGAGGCAGTATCACTACGGAAGTAGGATTGCCTAACCTTCCTTGCGAGGAGTGGCTTGTGGGTTTGAACCGCCAGCCCTCTGGTTAGCAGGCAAGTGTCTTAGCCACTATGCTACCAGAGCTCCCAAACTGTTAACTAAAACTTGCTAATGGTCCATCTTTGTCACTACTGGAAAAGTTGACCTGAAAATAAAACTAGCTCTGTCCAATTTCTGATAAGTGTTTGAGCACTATGAATCCAGTCATGCTTGAAGTCATGCCTACTTCTCAGACTTTTCATTTATGTGAGCCTATAAATTTTCCATTTTTAATTTAAGGCTTTTTTTAGTCTCATTAACTTGCCAATCAGTGTTCTGGCCTAATATAAAGAAAAGTTATGATTAAAAACAGCAATATTTTCCAGAGAAATTATATGTATACTATTTACCAAACTAGCTCTCATCAGACCCAGTGCTAAGCGTGTATAAACATTATCTCATTTATTCATGATATAAAAGTCATCAATACTAAAAAGTATTTCAATGTTATAAAAAATATGCATGAGCATACTAATTCACTCTGGAAAAACATCAAATTACAGAAATCTTCACTAAGAAAAGAAACTGGAGAGATAGGGGATAAAAACTCAACTTTCTACTTTATATATCTAAAGTATTTGATTTTTTAAAAACAACACAGTACTAGTTCTATAAGTAGATTAACTAAAAGAGTTAGAAACTATAGCATTGAAAACTTACTTCATAGTATTCATATTCATCAAGGTTAAACGTGTTGAAATTAAGGAAGCCATACTGCATTGCCTAAAATCCAAAGGAAAAGTTTTAAGAACAAAGATACAGATAAGGAAACAATTTAAGATCCAATTTCATAATAATAAATATCAGAAGGCAATCTAGAAAAGAATTATTATATTTAGATTATTTTTCACTGGACAGTTTCAAAGGAAGTGGGCTATACATCTTAATTACTTCCATTATCTGAAAAATTAGTTATAACAATATTTATTTTAATCAGATTTGATTTCCTACTTTCATTTTATCAGTCATCCTATCCAAAAAAAAAAAAAAAATCAAACTCATTGCCATAGAGTCAATTCCAACTCACAGCAACCCCCACTGGGTTTCCAAGGTAGTAAATCTTTCTGGAAGCAGATTGCCCCATCTTCCTTCTGTGGAGCAGCTGGTGGGTTTGAACCACCAGCTTCTTCTTAGCAGTCAAATGCCTTAGGCAATGTGCTACCAGAGCTCCTTATTCCAGCCATACACTACTAAATACCTTCAGAGTAATCTTACTAAATAATTAGATCAACACCACTCATGTGTTTATGATTCAGAAATTTAGGCTTCAAATACAAGGTACAGCCTAATGCTTTGTAAATAAAGAATGATGAAGAGGAAAGAAATTGGGTGTTAGTTTATCACAAACTATTTCTTACTATTTAATGTCCTTGCTTTTTAACTCTTTTGAAGTTAGTTTTGAATTAAGAGATTGTTGTTATTGCTAGATGCTGTCGAGTCTGCTCTGACTCATAGCAGCCCTATGTACAAAAGAATGAAACAATACCTGGTATTGTACCAGTCTCACAATCCTTGCTATACCTGAGCCCATCGTTGCAGCCACTGTGTCAATACATCTCATTGAGGGTCTTCTGCTTTTCAGCTGACCCTCCACTCTACCAAGCATGATATCCTTCTCCAGGGAATGGTTCCTTCTCACAACATGACCAAAGTAGGTGAGACAAAGTCTGGGCATTTTGGCTTCCAAGGAGCATTCCAGCTGCACTTCTAGAACAGATTTTTTTGCTCTTCTGGCAGTCCATGATACTTTCAGTATTCTTCGCCAATACCACAACACAAAAGCATCAACTCTTCTTAAGTCTTCCTTATTCATTGTCCAGCTTTCACATGCATATGAGGTGACTGAAAATACCATGGCTTGGGTGAGGCATACCTTAGTCTTCAAAGAAACATCTTTGCTCCTCAGTACTTTAAAGAGGTCTTTCTTTTGCAGCAGATTTGCCCAATGCAATTTGTCATCTGATTTCTTGATGGCTGATTCAATGAGTGTTGATTGTGGGACCAAATAATATGAAATCTTTGACAACTTCAATCTTTCCTCCATGTATCATGATGCTTCTTATTGGTCCAGTTGCGACAATTTTCGTTTTCTTTAGTTGAGATGTAATCCATATTGCAGGCTGTAGTCTTTAATCTTCATCGGTAAGTGCTTCAAGTCATCTTCACTTTCAGCAAGCAAGGTTGTGTCATCTGTGTATCGCGGGATGTTAATGAGTCTTCCTCCAATCCTGATGCCACATTCTCCGTCATATAGTCCATCTTCTCAGATTATTTGCTCAGCATACAGATTGAGTAAGTATGGTGAAAGGACACAACCCTGACACACTCCCTTCCTGATTTAAAACCATGCAGTATCCCTTTGTTCTATTCGAACAAGAGCCTCATGGTATATGTGCAGGTTCCTGATGAGCATAATTAAATGTTCTAGAATTCCCATTCTTCTCAATGCTATCCATAAGTTATGATCCACACAATCTAATGCTTTTGCATAGTCAACAGAACACAAGTAACCATTTTTCTTGTATTTTTTGCTTTCAGACAAGATCCATCTGACATCAGCAATGATATCCCTCATTCTGCATCCTCTTCTGAATCCAGCTTGCATTTCTGGATGCTCCCTTGTCAATATTCTGCTGCAACTGTTTTTGAATTATCTTCAGCAAAATTTTACTTGCGTATTGTAGTAATGATATTGTTTGATAATTTCCACATTCTGGGGGATTACCTTTCTTTGGAATGGGTACAAATATGGATCTCTTCCAGTCAGATGACCAGGAAGCTGTCTTCCAAATTTCTTAGCATAGACCAATAAGTGCCTGTAGCAGGGCATCTGTTTGTTGAAACATCTCAATGGTTATTTCATCAATTGTTAGACCCCTGTTTTTCACCAATTCCTTCAGTGCAACTTCGATTTCTTCCTTGAAAACCATTGGTTCTTGATCATATACCACCTCCTGAAACATTCTTTTCAGTACAGTGACTGTGTATTCCTTTCATCTTCTTTTGATGTTTCCTGCATCATTCAATGTTTTGCCCATAGAATCTTTCAATATGGCAACTCATGGCTTTTTTCCTTCAGTTCTTTCAGCTAGAGAAATGCCAAGGGTATTCTTCCCTTCCAGTTTTCTAACTCCAGGTCTTTGCACATTTCATTATAATAATTTACTTTGTCTTCTCAAGCCGCTTTTTGAAACCTTCTGTTTAGGTCTTTTACCTTGTCATTTCTTCCATTTTCTCTACCTACTCTCCATTCAAAAGCAAGTTTTAGAGTCTCTTCTGACATTCATTTTTGTCCTTTCTTCCTTTCCTATCTTTGTAATGACCTTTTGCTTTGTTCATTTTATGATGTTCTTGATGATCTCTAAATTCTGGTGGGATATAATCAAGACCATTTTTTGGCTCTCTTGGACTTGTTTCAGTTGTCTTCAGTTTCAATTTGAAGTCACATATGAGCAAATGATGGTCTGTTCCACAATCAGCTCCTGGCCTTTTATTGGCTGAAGATATTGAACTTCTCCATCGCCTTTTTCCATATGGGTAGTGCGGTGTAGTAAGTTACCTGGTATGGCTTTTCTAGCCTTAAGTCTTTTTGCAGTTGGTGTAAGAAGCGGTGGGATTCATTGCAGTGGCCCCAGACTAATAAAAGCATGGGACTTTGTAAAAGAAAGAAGGAAGGGGCCTGGGAAGTGAAACTTTGGATTATTAGGTGGTTACTTTGGTTGGTGTTACCTAAAAGGAGATAACTGATCCAGGGGCTAGGGCTTTTGGTTACACCCAAAGGCCCAAGGCCATATACATAGAATGGGACGGTAATGGTGAAAAGATAAACCTGGAATGTCTTTAAAAGATTATGTGTTTTGGATTATGTGTTTATCTGAATGTACTATGGCTATTAAATGTTCTCTTACCTGCTTGTACTTTAGAAGTAATTATGGGGTATGTGGATAACAGAGAGTGTGTAAGTCTGCCTTCAGCCAATATTTGATTGGATAAGTTAAAAGGGAAAATAGAATTTTCCCAGAAGAAACACAGGCGTTTCTTACAAACCCTGTGTGTAGAGTATAGGAGGCTCAGGTAGAAAACCTGAGTCCCACCCAGTACAACTGAGGAACCAGATTTGCATTTGAATAAGGACCTGAAAAGGAAAAAATAATGACTTCTGGCTCTCTGAATTTCGAGCAAGCAGACTGGTTTTGGGTGCATCGAGACAGTAAAGTCATGGACCATGAGAGAACCCCTTCCAGGACTGAAAGTTAAAGGACGCCAGTGAGTAGTAAACTTGTATGTTACTCGCTTGTAACCACCTGTGTCCACCTGAGTGGAAATGGGGGTAATGCAGCAAAGAAACAGGTTGAGTTTGGTACTCTTTAACCTAGGTTATGGAGGCTGGGGATGAGAGGAAGGGCTGGCTGGTCTGAACTGAAAGGAGTTGTGAGCCTACAGGCATTGAAATAGTCCCTGAGGATTGAAGATGTGAGAGAAGGTGCTGGCTGGTCTGAAGTGAAGGGAAGAGTGTGATTCCCAAACTTGGCAGCTGGTACCCATGACCTAGCTGGGATGCCTAGGACTGAGCTGACCAGAACCCGACCAAATGAAGAGGAAGATGTCTGACACCGAGCTGGTGTTAAGTTGCTGCAATTTGATGGCTTGTGCTGGGCTGGATTTGCGTGTTTATGGATCCAGATACCTGAAGTTTCCAAGCAGAACAGAAGATTCTCCAGAGAGAAAGGACCACGCTTGTCTCCTCAGAGTACTGGTTTGATGTTGTTGTTGTTGTTGTTATTTGCCCTCTAAACTGTGGAGAAATAAAGGCATGAAGTGGCTGGCTTACATGCTTTCTTGGGTGTGGTTATTCTTAAACTGATGGTGAAGGGGATGTGAATTTTTGAAGTATAAAAGGGATGGGATAATGGCTAGAAAAGCCAGGGGGTGGCCTGCAGTGTAGTAAGTTACCTGGTATGACTTTTCTAGCCATAAGTATTTGTAAACTCAGTGGTGGAATTTACTGTGAGCAACTGAGGAGCTCCCGATTGTAAAAGTTATCCACCTGGGGTATTTCTGTTGGGCGCAACACAAAGCAATGTTCTGGGAGGTTCCTGCTCTTTCTCTCAGGTGCTTAGAATTCTGATGCTATGATTGGTTAGTTTGGCCACTCTGCCAGGCTCAAAAGGAGGCCTCCTAGAGGCAGAAGAGGTCTCTCTCTGACTGCTGGTTGAGGAAGATGTGCTGCTGAAAGAGACACGTGCTATTGGGAAAGAGACGCAAGAGACGCATTGTTGAGTGAGACACCGAGGGACATGCACTGTTGGGAGAGAGACTGTGAGAGACTGTTAGGAGAGAGACTCTGGGCTGGGAGAGAGACTGAGCATTTTTTCCTGAACTTGAATTGCAGCATGGTGCTTCCCTAATAAACCCCGTAATCTGTGAGTTCTGTGTGGCCACTGCAGTGAATTATCGGACCAAGAGAGGTGGTGGGTACTTTGGGAGGAATGGTTGGTGAAAGGGCTGGAGGGAGGCAGCATGTCTGGCCTTGCAGAAATAGGCCTTGGGCTATTGATGGTGATTCTGTCTTCCTCTTCTGGGGTCAGAGGAGGTCAGGACATGTGGCTTCTTGTGTTTTTAGCAGATAGTCAATCTGATTTCTGTGTATTCCATCTGGTGAAGTCCATGTGTATAGGTGCCATGTTGTTGAAAAAGGTATTTACAATGAACAAGTTGTTGGTCTTTCAAAATTCTATCATGCACTCCCTCGCATCATGTGCATCACCAAGGTCATATTTTCCAACTACCAGTGATTCTTTTTTGTTTCCAACTTTCATATTCCTATCACCAGTAATAATCAATACATCGTGATTGCGTATTTGGTCAATTTCAGATTGCAGAAGTTGGTAAAAATCTTCAATTTCCTCATTTTTGGCTTTGATGGTTGGTGCATCAATTTGAGTAACAGTAGTAGTAACTGCTCTTCCTTGTAAGCATATGGATATTATTATCCTATTACTGACAGCACTATACTTCAGGATAGCTCTTGAAACATTCTTTGTGATGATGAATACCATGCCATTCTTCTTCAATTCGTCATTCCTGGCACAGTAGATCATATGGCTGGCTGATTAAAAATGGTCAAAACCAGTCCATTTCAGCTTCACTAATGCCTAGGATATTGATCTCTATGTGTTTCATTTCAGTTTTGACAACTTCTAGTTTTCCTAGATTTATACTTTGCACATTCCATGTTCTGAGTATTAATGGGTGTTTGCAGTTATTTCTTCTCAATTTGAGTCATGCCACATCAGCCCATGGAGGTCCCAAAAGCTTTACTCCATCCACATCATTAAGGTTGATTCTACTTTGAGGAGGCAGCTCTTCCCTAGTCATATTTTGAGAGCCTTCCGACCTGAGGGGCTCATCTTCTGGCACTATATCAGACAATGTTTCAGGGCTATTCATAAAGTTTTCCAGTAATAGACAGTGTTTCACTGCTATTCGTAAGCTTTTCACTGGCCAATTCTTTGAGACGGGGATGGCCCCTTCCTTCTTCTGAGTCTACCTTAGTCCGGAAACTCTGCTGAAATCTGTCTATCATGGGTAAAACCCTGCTGGTGGCACAGCTTCCAGCCTCACAGCAATACGTAAGCCACCACAGTACAACAAACTGACAGATGAGTGGTGAGAATTAAGAGATTAACATTCCCTATATAAAGGACAGCCCAGAGATTTACACTAAAATTCAAAATTTTGAGGGAAAAAATCATTCTCTAAAAACACACACACACACACACACACGTATGTATCTTCTCTGTTCTATCCTCTAGTCCCTCTGAGTTGTGGAAGGCAGATCATGCTAAGTTAAATAAGCAGAACTGTAAGGATAAAAATTTTGCTTTGTTAGGCTTGACCCCATATTGTTAAAATAAGAGCCCGTATTTTTGGTTAACAGGTCATTTCTTTAAGACTTGACTTCAACTTTGTGTTATAATTAAGCTGTTCTCTATTTAAGATACAGTTAACAGTTCCGGATGCATCCTGTGATCTAAGACAGGGCCATCTAAAGACTCCTAGCCAGACATCAGCTACCTATGCTTTGACAAACACCAGTGGAGCCTCTTAAGGACTAACCTGACTCATGGGAACTGACAGGAAACTCCTTTCTTAATGACTCATTGTCCCATCTAACTTTTGGAAAATTGTTAACTAATCCTGCATATATGCTGTGTCTCTTCTTCCTTTAGTATAAGAACCCCTGATTGTAAGTGCTGAACAGAGTGGGCATCTTTGGAGTCACTGAGACCCCCACCCGTCTCTCACTGGTACACCTCCTACATTTCAACTCTCTTTTTCTCCTTGAACTCTCATGTGGACTATTGGCCGCACTGCTCCAGGGCAGAATCCCGGCATTTTTCAGGTAACAGAACATCTATTTTCTGAGACAAGGAGGAGCTGAGAGGTGGTAGCCTCTGAGAAGTGCTCTCATTATCTGACCACTGAGCTAGACAGTCTGTAGCAAGAATTCTTGGCCAAAAGAAATGAATAAATAAGAATTGTTGACCAACAAGATATCTTGATTCTCTTTAAAAGAGTTGATCTGTAAACCCGATTTGAAGATTTAAACTGTTGAAATATGAATGTAAAATAGGAAGGGCAGAACACAAACCAAAAGCCCTCATTTTATAAAATATAATCATTTAGCTCTAATTCCAAAACCAAATCAACGATGAATTTCATTTCTTTGAATTCATAAGTACTCATTCTATTTCATGATATTTGGACTAGGGACGTTTCTAACAGAATGATACTATAAAATACAGTTCACAAGTAATTCCTATTTTTCTTTGAATTTCATAAGGAGAGTTTATTGGAGGTAGATAGAACTAAAATTTAGACAAAATTACATGTATTTCATACATACAGTAATATTCAAAATTAGTCACAAATAAAAGAGTGCTGAAACTGAAAATCAGAAACTGCTGACCTTTGAATAAAGTTAAGCATAGTGTTTAAAAAAAAGAAAGAAAGAAGCAATCTTTGACCTATTAATATTAGATAACTGGTCTTTAGGTGCAATATCTCATATAAGCCAAGCCAAGAAATAACAATGAAAATGCTATATGGTGATGGGAACTGTTGTTAAGAGTAGACTACTTCCAAGCCCCTCAGTTTTTCTTTTTAATAAAGGTGCTGGAGGTGGGGGGAGCCCTGGGATAAGAAGAGCATACCTGCCTATATTAGCAGTTCCCTGGGGTTCACCTGGATGGGACTGAGGTTGCAACTGCAACTGGAAGGTACTATTTACACCCACTGACCTTTCTGTCTCTAGATTTTTGCCTCTGTCCAGTACCTTCCTAAACTGAGACCTAACTGAAGCACCTCAGGGCCTGTGACAACTACCTCACAGCTAGTGGACTCAAATTTGAAAAGTAAAGTAAGATTCAGTTCCCATACCCCACTGCCTCATATAGGAAAATGGCATACTGAATTCATATAATAATGATTCAACTCATTTTAAGACAAAATTTCTGTCAAAACTCTCAGAAAACCACCATGTTTCATTACACAGAACAATAAATTTGGGCTCCTTTTACCTCTGAAAATAATAAAGTTACATGAAACTTGAGATGTTGTTGAAGGCTTATTTGATCCACTGGCTACTGATTTACAATTTCTATTTCTTATGCTATCTCAACATTCAAGAAAAATACCTGAGAGAGTGAGTTTTACAACCAGGGCCGTCTGTATTAAAAATTACAGGAGACCGAATGTGCTGTGAAGGGGATGCCCTGGAATCAGAATGGCAGCTCTGGAGTCAAGGCAGCAGCCCTGAGTGTAATACAAAACCAAACCCAACCCACAGTGACTCTGCAGGATCACCAAATAAATAAATAAAACTGCCCCCCCTAGGGTTTCCAATGCTGTAAACCTTTGCAGAAGCAGAGTACCACATCTTTCTCCCATGGAGTGCCTGGTGGGTTTGAACTACCTACCTTTCAGTTAGTAGCAAAGCTCTTCACACACTGTGCCACCAGGGCTTTTTGCTGGTTATAACCCAAAGGAGTTATTTTAAAATAGCTTTGAGAAAGCAGTAGCTACCCTCTTACCCACTGCCATCAAGTCAATTCCAATTCATAGCAACCTTACAGGACAGAGCACAACTGCCCCACAGGGTTACTAAAGCTGTAAATCTTTACAGAAGTAGATTGTCTCATCTTCCTCCCACAGAGCAGCTGGTGGGTTCATAGAATTTTGATAGAAATTTTGATTAGCAGCCCAATGTTTTAACCACAGCACCAACAGAGCTCTTGAGACTCTCTTAGTTGTATATAAAACCCTGTAATAAACTAATGGGCTTTTCAAATTCTTCTATTCAACTAGAAATTGTCTGACATCTCAAAAGTACAAAACAAGGATTTGACAATTACTTGTTATCTACTTCCATAGTGACATAGCCTCGGAAACCCAAGGAGGGGTTGCTATGAGTCAGATAGACTTAATGGCAGTGAGTTTGGTTTTCTGGTATTGTAAATAATGTCTGTGGGAATCAAACCCATCAGGAGCTCTGGTAGCACAGTGCCTAAGGTAGTTGACTGCTAACCAGAAAGCTGGCGGTTCAAACCCACCAGCCACTCCTCGAAAGGAATATGGGCCAATCTACTTCCATAGTGATAATGCCTTGGAAACCTAAGGAGGATTCACTATGAGTCAGATCCTGTGGGAATCAGACCCACAGAATATGTAAATCAAAAAGAGTGAAAACCAGCAATCTTTTTACTTTGTGTTTTTCTTGTAAGGTCACAATACGCTTAAATCCAACTCTGAATTCAGCGCCTAATTACATTTTAACTATCTCTTAGTCTCGACTGCTTTTTAATTGGCTCCCTCGTTGTCCTACTCCCTAACACATCCCAAGAAGCACTCAGAGACTTGGAATAAGTTGTTTTCTCATTTAATTCAATTCTAACATTACTGGAAAATGTGGTACCTCTACATCATGTGCTTCTTGGAAGAGATCCTAATAAACAGATCTTGGAGGAAGAAGCCCTAGAATACTTTAGACTGCACTGTAGTTCTACAACACAGCACTGAGCACATCCTACAAGTTACTTACCTTCTTTACTGCATGAAAACAGTCAAGAAGTGTAATGTAGAAATTGCAACTTCCATAGGCAGCGTCTCTGAAATTTCAAAAGTATTGAAATACATAGCTCAGTTAAATCTTTTTCTGCATTTAACTCAAGATAAAGCTGCCTAGAATTTAAAATCAAACACATAGCCAGAACCATTTTCAAAACAAATTGGCTTTTGCTTTTAAATAAAGTAAAAGTCACTTATAAATTCCCCCGCAGTTTCTACCTACTGCCATACACACAATTTTATGGACCTGGATCAATAATGACTACTTCTTAAATTTCAAATTATCTCTAGCTATCCTTGGTAGGTTCAACTAATTAATAGTATTTACCTCTCTCCACAAAAAGATTTTTTCTTTAAACTGGAAAATACCATATGAAACTATTAACAGGAAAGACTGCTTTCTGATTGTGACTGTGCGTATGTGTGTGTGTTATATATCCATTCTCAAAACCAAACTAAACCCACTGCTACCAAGTCACTTCCAACTCATCACAACCCTCAGTGGGTTTCTAAGGTAGTAAATCTTTATGGGAGTAGACTGCCTCATGTTCCTTCAACCTTCCATCAACCTTTCAGTTAGCAGTCAAGTGCCTTAGGGCACTGTGCCACCAAAGTTCTTTATATCCATCTTAATATAAAAAAAAAAAAATTGGGAAAATGAAGTATTTGAAATACTAAATCCAAACTTGGGAGCTCTGGTAGCATAGTGCCTAAGGCACTTGACTGCTAACTAGAAGGCTGGCGGTTCAAACCCACCAGCCACTCCTCGGAAGGAAG